TTATAAACACACTCATGATTTAGCAAAAATGAGAGCCTATTTCCCCCAATAACTGTAAATAGGAGGGCAGTTTTCCAAACCAAAGCCCTTCTTATTATTAAATCTACTCAGTTGTTTAAAATAACCTGTCCAGATATACGCTAAACTTCCAAGTTAAATTTCGTCCTGAAAGTTGTTTGCAGGATTCGCGGAACTGTAAATTAGGGGAGAATGGTCGATTTGAGCAGGCTACGCACTATCCCCATCGTAAAAGCTCATTCATTGTTTTGACCTTCCGGAAGACCAGTTCTGGAGGTACGATAGTCTTTTATCAATCTTCCTAGGCTTTTAACAGCTGTCTCCGCACTGGCCATCCCGCCGATCCCAAGCGCCAGTATAGTGATCACAATGACCATCCTCTCTTCCGCCGGTTTCTCAACTGCAAACGCTGCTTACCTTTATGCTGTCGATTGGCTTCTGTAAGACCATGTAACCTCATTGTTACCTTTTATGTTAAAAGTAAATCGGCATTCATGTTCAAGTTGATCCATTTTGGTATTCGATAAACGTACAGTACGGCTGGGACTCATGTAAAATGCCAAAGTTTGCGAAAGATTGACAGCACTTGCAAACTGAAATTAACACATGTAAGAAAACTTAGAAATAATGACGAACAACGTTAGGCAAATATGTTGAAAAGTGCTAATTGTTTGTCAAATATTTTTTTCGCAATAAGACTCAAGTTTCACAGTCGTAAAATTAGCTATAAAATAGAACAACATGTTTAAATGGTATCGCAAGTTAAATGGATAACTTTACTTCTTTCTTTATGTCAAAAGAACTTTTCCTTAGTCAGGATATTTTAACCATATTGTAGTTATTTAATTAAAAATACTTATAGATTCCTACAAATATTCGCCGGTTTTCTGTGTTTTCAAACTTTATTTCATAAACATAGAATATGTTCGATGTTCATAGCAAAACGTTTAAAATACGATATCTGCTTAAAGCCTTTATCAAAAAAATGTGTTTTAAGATATTAATACTTATGAAGATAGACATGTGGGCAATATATAGAAATTTCTCCAACCATACCACACATCGCCGAGAAAAAAGGTGCGCAACGGAAGACTGATATTGTTATTTCTACGATAAATATAAACTCTTTATATAATAGGTTAACCCTTTAAAAACACTTTATCAGATACCCAGTTGAGGAATATCCATGCATGTTGCCCTTTTTCCAGGTAGTTTTAAAATTAGAACAGATATGCTTGACAGGTTTTTTAATTCACCTGAAAATAAATAGGGTTTCGCTAAAAATAAATTAACGTACTTTTTCCTTTATAATGGGGTACTTTGCACCATAGTCCATTATTTTTAGAGTCCGTTCTAAGCTTCCGAATGCAAAAAGGAGAGTTATCACATTATTATTCTTCTGTCTGTTCGCTTTCTTAATTATGCATAAACGAAAATAATTTTATACAAAAAGTATACTTCTGCATGTTTTAGCTTAAATATGAGTTGCTTTTACCTTATTCTTTGCGATAATATTTAGGCAGTTTTGGTTACCGTCCCGAAAAAATAATTCAATCTGTAAAAGAATGCGGTAAAAATATTTCTTACTCCATTTTTAGTTATATACATCACACATTGTCAAAAAACTTCTTTTAAACTAAAATTGTTCCTTGGTTCTGAAAATAAATATGATTCTTTAAAATTGGCTTCACCCGTATCTAATCAACTTCGGACTACATTTTCCAGTTCTAAATGGGATATCTTTTGACATTTTCTTACGTCTTTTGGGGTTCACCCATAGCACAAAGCATAGAAATAAAATGTCTGATTCAGTCGTACTATTCAATAAGCTAACTTTAAATAGTCCCGCCAGCTGAATTGCACAGCATGGTTCTTTATGATACAAGGAAATTACAGATATTAGTGAGCAGGAACTCGGTTTTCGCGTTTTAATATTATTAATATTATAAACTGTCCCAAAAGAGCAAAAATTTGAATGCAAAATGGTAACGTGGTGTCATTGCAATATTATACAGTAAATATAATCATGTGTCCCAGAAAACGATAAACAGGCTAGAAAAATACCGTCTTACGCGTTAACGTACTTTGAAAAAGACCTTAGCTCTTTAACTTGCGATTAAAAAATCAATGAGCTGGCATTTCAATTATCGAAGACGTGTTGTACGTGAGTTGTTATCTAAGACTGCACATATTATAAATCATTTTAAACCGACTGTTAAAGTCAAAGAATCTTAAAATATATATTAAAATCCCAAATAGTTGTCCAGAAGCGGAAATTAATTGACATTCTGTTCTATGTCTTCCACTGAGAAACATATATGCATTTAAGCTTATCCTATGGAAGGAATAAGAAAGAACTTTAATTTCGTTTAAATTATTAATTCAAGCGCTTAACTCAGACTAATGAAAGTTTACTGACGGATGTCACAATTGCTCTGTATCATGTCTGGACACGTTTGAGACTCGCGAACATTATTGCATCTTTCGCATGAACTTGGCAACAGTCCTTTTATTCGCGAAGTTATAAATATATTCCGAAAGACGCCGGGTACCTCAACCCATTGAGAAGGGTTTCTATATATCGATTTAGTTCCTAGTTTAGCGCGGAGCAGCCTATGTCAATGCAAAGCAGAATTGCTTGATTATTTGTCAAAAGTGAAGGGAATAATACACCATCTCACAGTGAACAGTGTTTATCGTAGTGCGGAATACTCCCTTGATATCTGACACAGGCCACGGGGTGAGCTTTCGAATGCACTTCCTTTTGGCCGCCTGAAAAATTCCGTTTAAAGAAAATCAGTGCCGATTCGGCATATACTTTGCATTATTTATTCTGTATTCCCCTTTAAATTCATACATATTTTATCCGAAAACAAGCTCAAATATTTTACTCCTTTGAAAAGTGCTCCTGCCTTTAAATTTGGCAGTCGAAGAAATGTTACATTCGGAAATTACAAATGTATTTGTCTATGAGATTAGGCAAAACTGTAATACGTCTACTAAAAGAAAATCAAATCTGTTCGTTCTATAATGCTCCTCATGAAATACAAAACAAAATCTACATTCAGTGCACGTTATAGTAGCACCAAAGAATACTAGGGGGCATACTTTTAGTTAAAAGAAAAGCATGCATCCTGTAGAATGAAGAACCTTATTGCTAATGCGACAGCATGCAGGACTCAAACTTATTTGGGAAATGGAAACTGTTTTAAAGTACAAAACACGATGTTCTCGCAGTTAAGTACAAGAAAGCATAGTACTGCTTACGTTATCCAAAAAAAATATTTAACTTTATAAGTGCATCAGAACTAAATAGAAAAACTTATGCAGTTCAAGCAGTAATTTTAAGGATTAAGTTTCTAACAGGAGGCCCAATAGAAGTGCATTTGAAAAATTTCATCCTGGCATCCTTGAAATATTCCTGTATTATGCTACATCGGGATTAATATTCAAATCGCACTTCAGTTATCCTTTCTTATCTCAAATGCACTCCAATATTTTAGTAACTCACTGTAGGATGAAGTTTTTGTATCTGCTTGTTAATATGTTGCGTCCACCGCGTATCGCACTCTAAAAGGACATCTACACAGTGCAGATTTTGCAAATTACTACCACAATTTGACTTTAAATGACTAACACACCAAATTCTAATAGCATGGAACTAAAATGGTGGAATGTGTTTAATTTTCATGAGGATTATCTCTGCAATCTTTTGTGCGTCTTAAAGGGCACAGTTATGTAGACTTAAAAGTAATGCTGAATGTATAAGTTACAATGAATATTGCGTTGTTTGGAGGTCCTGAAAATAATTTAGACTCATTTTCTTTTTTGAAACATGTAAACTTAACTAGCATTTCCTTTATTTACAATATGGAGTATTGCGAGGTCGTTACAGGTTCGCAACTGAGCTTCTAAATGGTACAATTTCTTAGTTCATTATTAGCATCTACAGTAGGTGAAGTACTTCATGCAAAGTTACGATCCCAATTAGGCATGGTAGTTTAGCATACATTCAGTCACTTCATTGCAATTAAATGACTGGAGTGGATCCTGCGAAAGCCTTTTTCCAAAGGGGAACTGCCTTTTTTCAGTATATTTAAGGGTTATAAGCAAAATTTAAGCGAAATCAGAGGCTGTCTGCTATACGAGATATTTTCAAGGTTTTCAGTACGGCAAAACCAAGCCTTTCGTTTTTATGTGTGGTGCTAGGGGAGAACCTGGATACTACCACAAAGAGTTGAAAATATATTCTTTCCAGAACCGGAAAAGCTTGTCACAAAACGCAGCAGACAAAGTTTTGACTTTATTGTCCTTTAACATGGGGACTGTTGCGTATATCAACCGGTTTTTTCTTATCCTGCAAAGGGATCGGATGCGCTCAGGTGCAAATGCAATCTCTGCGATGTTTGGGGTTTCATTGGTCGACATCATTTCCAAACGGCGGAAGCGGTCGCGGGAAAAGGTGGACTCGAAGTCGGATTCAGATATCAGTGATGTATGAGAACGCCTTAGACCGATTGAGATTCCGTTTATGCATCAAATACAATCCCATTTTATGTTGCCCGGAGATGTGGGATACCTCACAATCAGGGGTTTCCTACCCTCCATTTAATTTTTTGATCGATTAGTTTGCCTAATAGGCACTCGCGAATTCTTTTTACTACTTCCCTTGGCCATGTAAATAATACAATATTAAAACCAATGTATACTTCGTTTTAACCCTTCGCTCAAACAGAGGCGATGAACTGAGTGACAAGCTGCCTTATCAGTAAAGCTGATACAAGGCTAGGTCACTATGTTTGGGTTAAATAAGAAGATTAATTAGTACTTACCAAAAAAATAGAGCACTCTCTAAAACCAACTGAAAGACAACCTTTATTCAAAAATAAATACATCGAGAAAAGCAAGAAACATTAAGGATATGAGCGTGCTTAAGGAGCATTATAGATTTAATTTAATTTAATTCGATATACAGGTTATAGTAGAACAAATAAACATGGATAAACAGCTCTGTTTATATGTTCGATAAGAAAGTGGGCGTTATGCAAGCTATTGGTGTCCATACAAAAACTTCAATAAAGTGTTCTTCCTACAGGTGGCTTTGAAAAATTAATAAATAGAGAACTTTCACATACGTGAACGTAGACTGCTGCAAATATACACTGATTCTGCATTCACCTGTCTGTCCTGGTTTCAAGACTAGGCAGAGTAGCGTCTGTTTTATGTTATAATTTCTGGTATTCAATCCTCGCGTTTAGCTACCTATCGGCAAACAATCCGTTGTAGATAATGTTTGTCAATAAAAGCATGGAAAATTAAAACCTCTTAAGTTTGACGAGTAATATACGAATGCTACATATCGGACGAAATCGCAAGGCGAATGTGCTGTCTAGATTAATAAACTAAAACGTTCGTGAACAGATATATCGCGCGAGTCTTAGATT